GATATTTGAGTCAAGAATGCAATTTTTGGAATATACAAAACATGAATTTTCCTTCTTACATCGACTCATATATTTTATTTGTACATGTAGTTTGACATATCATATTGGTTGTTCATCTATTGATAGTTTTGTTCCGTTATGTCTGTAGAGTAGGATTTGATAAACAAAATTATGAAACGTGTAGAGAATTGTTAAATTCACCCCAAGTTGTTGAAGTCATTCCGTGGCGGCAGTTGTCATGGCAACAAGGTTGTTTAATATAAATGTCGATGCATTGCAAAGTACCATGTTGCATCAATCTTTTTTAAATCCAATGAGTATCACTTCGAAGGGCAGATTTAGCTATCTCAGATCCAACACTACTATTTCTTGCATAAATACGATCTTTTTGACAATACATCATGCAAGCGCCTCCAAAAACTTCGTATAACACTTTTGAGAAGTTGTTTCATCAAAGTGTCCAAACTTTTGCACTCAACCAAGGTTTTGCAATCTCTAAAGAGTGCATTGATTGGAAACAACGGAGTATTGTTCTCAAATGCGACATTGATGAGACCCACAACTCTTTCAAAGCACCTACCATTGAACGTGTTGAATTGACTGTACTTTGAAGATCTATGTTGGTTGTTTGGGGAGATAATCGTTGGCACGTTCAACTTCGCATTGCAGAACAGAATCACAAACCTTTTATGGACATCTTTGAGACATACTATTGTCTTCAGTCTCAACAACGTGGTTTGTCAGCACAGTTGTTGACTACTGAGTGAATATATGATGCTAGCTAATATGGATATCACTTGAAATCGAATATCTTGCTTGTATTTGCTGGCCATCTCACGCACCAAATGCTGAAAAGGAAGTTTGTGAAGAAGATACGTTGAATTTTGTTATTTACATATCTCTTGGATGAGGACTTGTTCTTTGGAAATTCGAGGTTTTTTCGAGATTGAGAAGGCTCCTGACTCTTGCGAATATCGTAAGATGCCAATGCTTCAAAAGACAAAGGAACGTTTTGTTTGCGATACGGTTGTCGGGGATGGATCAAGAGAGAGAGCTTGGGATATGAACTTTTGATTGAACCTTTCCACGGCATGTTCAAGCTTCGCAACAGCAGCAGATTCTGGTGTTTCCTCCATATGCATATGAAGATTCACCACTGACAGCAGCTTGTACACATGAAAGAAAAGAAAATGAGAAAGAGATGCCAGAAACTATTCTTGACGCGAAAAGAAAAAAATTTAAAATTTTGTCATGATAACTGACTCGACGGGTAAATTGAACAACGCGGGAGATAAATCCAACAATACCCAACGTGTATTCAAAAAATCTAATTTTCCGGAGCTATTCTTCAATTGTACCACTTGAGGCTATGTCTCTAGTTTACATATGACAATTGAATGGATCATACATCCTGGATACATGTTGGTGTTCGCAGTAATTCCTCATGTGGTTGGCTCCTTGTTAAGTAATGAAGAATAACAATCTACGATTTTCTTTTAGCATCCTTAACATCATTTTATGGTTGCACTCTTACAACTCCATGTAGGTCTCAATGTAAGTACTGAAAATGAAAAGACGTTCCTTTAAGTAGAGAATATGTCATAAGGGTATTTGCAATAGATATTTTTTCGAGTCAAGGATTTCGTAGCTTATCGCAAACTAGAAGCACATGAGACACGTTATGTTTCTCAGGCCTTTGGACTTCTTCGATCACTCGATCACAAAATGATCGAGCGGACAACGAAGTGGTAATGTTTATGTGCACGTGGATATCACACGTTGCAAAATGTCACTATCGCAGAGTAGTAGTGGTACGAGTATAACAGGTCCCACTGTCCATATATATATATACATCTTCTGACTTGATGGGGCCTTCCCACCCTTTTTGATACATCACTAGGTGTCCTTTTTTTAACCACAAATCTCACTTTTCTTTTCTCCGGGTAAAGGTTTACCATCTTTTACGTATGAACTTTCGATAAAGGTCATAGAAGGGCTTTGCTTAATCTCCACTGCCTGTGTGTATGTGTGGTGGAAACCAGCACTGCAGTATTGAACTGTTGGCTCCGCATCTGATTTTGATCACGCAATATTTTCTCTTGTATCGGTCGAATTACGCTGAAGCTGCCTGCCCATCCAATGAGACTCTGCGCCGACCACTCCAGAAAGACAACGCATTGAAACTGGACCGGTGGCCGTCACAGCGTGGAACGCATTATTTGACAGACGTTGTTGTGGCCAGTTATGGCATGCCTAGGTGGGTGCTGCGCTCTGACCACTGATGATAACCTGCACTTTCTCTACTAACATGGCTCCGGACGATGTCTGCGAGCCACGAACCATGTTCCTGCCACTAAATGCTATCAAGGTATGTCATCGAGAAACCTGTTATATTTTCTCCATCTGAAGACTTGTATGTTTTTGTAACGGTTGCTTCTTATAATGCGAAGTCTCAAGCTGTGGCTTTTCACCACTGTCGACTTCATCTGAGTACACGCTTTGCTGTTTGTTGGACCCTTCAAGCTAAATGCATGTTCGACCTTGTCCTTAATCTATGTCAAGTAGCTTCCTTCATTCATTACTATGTTACCACAGTCACGAAAAGGTTGGCAGCTCAAATTAGCAGCACTATATGTCTCTGTCTACTATCAGGCCTAGGACTTGTCTGGCAATTAATGTGTATGAGGACTACGAGCTGCCCTCTCTGCCCAGCATCAAGAATGCCAGATTAATTATATCAAAGATACCAGCAGACCAATATCGATGCCTTTCCATATATACATCAGAAAATGGTAACCTTGGTTTCAAATGAAGCTGTCACACTTCAGTAAGAAATCGCGCCACTTATTACTACCGTAAAGCTGAGTAATACCTGGATACCACAAAATCCACCCATCCCGGCTTTTATCATAGTAGATAGATCCACCCCTGGCGGAGAGGCTGTAGTCACAACCACGTGTGTTTCCTTATCTTCTATCTTCTCTTGTATTGCATTTTATGAAGTCGCGCTGCGTGCCAGTGCTTCAGTCTGTTTCAAAAGGTAATTTCAATAACCATAACTAGACTTGAAGTTTTCATTTACTGCTTTGCTGAAGGGCGAGTATGAGATATATGTCCAGTACATCTTAGCTTCTCTCTTTGATGTCTACATCAGATGCTCAGGGACCAAGACCAAGTAACACTAGCGTTACTGTAAACTTCCTGCTTACACACATTCTTGCAAGGTCTGCAGAAAGCAATGCGGCTCTAAGCAATTCCCATGATATCTGATATAGCCATTTGGCCTTTAATCTTACGGTTATCTTGTTCATGTCCTTCAATAATTAAATGCAGATTCTAGACACTTGTCCACAGGTAAAGTTTTTACAGTAACAGGTGATAGTTGTACCTTCATTCCCGAAAATCTCAGTGACAAGTTTTCACTCCTATGTTTCATGAACAACTTCCTCATTCTTTTCAACTCGTAGAGATAGTGATCTGCCGAGTCAGTGAAGAACGAATTATTGAGCAAAATGAATTTGTATAATGACCTCATCTGGTGGAATCACGAGGAGACTTTGTTCAAGAGAAAATACTGATGCAATATGTTTGTGTCGATAGTTGTTTAAAATCTACTCTCCTGGCCAACAGCTCGAGAGTTCCAAACTTCTGATTCACTTTTGGACTCAAGATTGGCATGGCCGTAGCTTTTGCAACCTAATCACGTCTCGTTTAATCAAAGGGCCACGCAGTACTCCGGTTTCGTCCCTGTGAACTTTGCATCCACTCCCTTTTCAATAACATTTCACAAAGTCTCGGTCACCATAAAAACATCATGACGGCACACTGGAAAAATTAAAGTCCGCTGGCAAAACATCGAGGATTAGCGCTGGGCATCTGTCGATTTCATTTCTAAATTTTACCTCCCCGATAATCTGCAGATGAAACCAGTGCATGCGCGGCCAATTCTTGTGATCAATGTAATCTATTTGCCACCGACAAACTCTTCCTTGTTTAGAATGCAATACCTAGCTAGCACGCAGCACACTGGAACTATATGATCAATTTGTGTGGCATGTTTGGTACATGCACGTACCGCCCTCTACTTCCTTCAACTTGTTTCGATTGCGATGATGTTGCACAGATGAAACTGTCGTCGTTTCATGAGTTCACTTGGAATTTGTTTAGCCAGTAACAAGGGGATTCCAGTCCAGATTCAAACGCCGTTCGCAACTAGCCAGGTTGGGCAGAGTCATTCAGATTCACAATCAAGGTGGTCAACAGATCCAGTTAACCGTAGACATGTATACCAAGCTTCGAACTAGCTCATTCTTGGACTAAGATAGAAATAATACACATCTAAGAACCTCTGGAAAGTAGCTTGGAAGACAACAGTGAACAATCGAATCTAGATACTGCCAAATCTGTTCGAACTGGTCTGAAATGTTTAGAAGAGTCTGGTCTCGGCAACTGATAATAAGTAAGGCTCTACTTGAAATCTCAAAAAATACAAAGTTGTGGTAAATTCAATTCCTCGATTTTGATAAAAATCTGTGTCACGTGAAATCAAAATTAGCACTTTTTGCATGCAACCTTTTAGGATTGTTTTGTTTGGAAGTCGGCTTGAAGAACTTCGGTTTCTGCAGTGGTAAAAACATAGGGAAACTATAAGGCTCCAGTTGATGGGACTGAATGTCGCTTTCATTACGTCCTACTATCACTGGTTCTTATCAATTAAAAATACATTCTCTTCCAGAGCTGCTCTCAGGAAAGCGAGTAGAAATTTTTCACAAACCGGTTTCAGCGACATCCGATATTCACATATTTCCAAAATAACTTACTCATGTATTTGTATTACGTTCCCATCCGCAAAGAGCAGAAAATGAAGACATCAAAATGGATATTTGGATCAATAACTCTTGACCATGAGACCTAAAGACATGGATTCTGAAGACTGCAGACTCTACAAATTCCATTGAAATTTCACCCACTTAACTATGAGAAAGAATTGCCATTTGCCTGGCAGAGTGCTTAATCCAAGCATGGTAAAAAATGAATGGTACATTATGATGTTTATGAACCACTCATCTCCAAAGGTATTGTGCCGTCGGTTCAGGTGTTCTTGGTCTTCAGCAAGATCTCCTTAGATGCAATGTCACAAGTTCAAAGTCCAGCGTTTGTTGCTAACTTTTGCTAATTACTGCGGATTGCGTGGGCTTGACCGGACAAGACATTAATGATAAGACGACATTGTACATGAATCTGTAATACATCTTTGACTTCGGTTAAAACTCAATCTGCTTTGAACAGAGCCTCAAGGCCGGATAGTGATGTGAGGTTTTCTATACGAGTGCTGAAGATGAGCAGTTGCTGCTAATATTTTTACTGTGACTTCATATCTGTATTGGCATTACCGCAAAAACCAAAGTTAGGATGTTGATTGACGCGCTCATGCATAGATATCGATCTTACTAGGGCCTGGAGCCACTTTCAAGAGTAGAGATAATTTCGCTTTATTGTCCAAGATTTCCTATCTGCTGAGTTACATCTTGCCTCTCGCTTCAACCCAAAAATAGTGTTATGCATCTTTGTATTTCTGACTCGGATCCTAGCTACTTAATACCTGTATGTATGTGAATGATGATCATGATAAGGTCAAAATTCAGGTAGAACTGCTAATGAGAAAGGCCTGTTGCCAACTTTATACTCAGGAAACCAGATGACATTGTGTCAATCCTTGCAAACTGGGCACGTGATAAATCCATTTACACATCTTTGTGGTTTAGAATCCAGAGCTGCGAAATCAGGATCCAAGTTCTTGGGTTAGCATCAGGAATATCTGCAGCATTTTGTAGCATGTGCACAGCATATTAATCTACATGAAGAGCATCTAAAGACTCTCAAATCTGAAATAACCTTACGTGGTCATGAATTGTCCTGCAGGTGCTGAGATTCCAACCACCTGCTGAGGTGTGGGTGCACGCGTCCTTGGTTGCAACTGGTCGTAGACATCCCTCACACCCATGTATCCTAATTTGGAAGGTAGCCATCAGTACGAAAATATGAATGTGAATGTTAAATGTCCGAAGATTTTACTAAAGTGGAGAAAGCACTACTATTACGTCCAAAAAAAGATATCATGTGACATCCTGTTATTCTCAGCATCTAGACTTGACTCTTACGAAATCTTTGAATGACCATGAGTCATGGTCATTCAAAGCTTATCACTCATGGTCCATGAGTGATAAGCTTCTGCCTGCAGCAATGTGATTGTAACAGTGCCTTAGTCTAGATGAACATGATAACAATCATCCTTTGTTTCGAATTCAATTGGAGGTTCTGACTCGCAGAATCTAGTGTACCGTCATGATGTGATTTTAGTCACTGCATGCAGTGCATGATGCTGGACCAACCTCAAGAAATATATCACTGATGTCTTTTGAAAGTGAGAAATCAGTACCATGGGAAGGATCAATTCTACGGTTGAGTAGCTCCCGATAAAGTTGGCAAGTAGAGCATCTCAAACAAAAGTAGTCGCTGCAACAATCAACGCAAGGTTTTTCTGGTAACCCGAACTTCTGCCGCATTCGTGCTCGGTATGTACAAGTGTGGAGAAATCCACATGCTGTACAGTTTGTCAGACAGCAGAACACAGTTCCCGCTCCCAGACAAGCTGCAGAATGAAAGAACAAAGTTTTAGTGAAGAGAGTGACCAATGGATGAGACTGACACAAAGCATTATTCTCAATTTTTGGTTTGACTGTTTCAAAGCATTTCAGCAAGGCACTATGAACAAACTATGAGCTGTAACCTATGAACTGACTGTATAGTCAACGCAAACACGTCACTCATGATTGGATTTCTCATCGATTAGATCCACGTTTGTAACGAAATAAATTGTTGTTAAAGAAGTGGTTACACCCTAAGCTTTATACTGCTTCGTGGACATACGAAGGCGGTCGGATGCTCTGTCTGGATAGAAAACCCTATGAGATAGAGGTAGTTGCTTGAAGTCTAGAATAGTTACACAGAAACACTAGGATTGGCTAAGGTACTAAGTCGTGCTGCATCTCTTCAGCGTGGAATGAGAAGAAGAATTCAAGTGGTTGTGAGCTGGGAAAATTGGATAAATAGTTTTGTGAAGATTGTAACAACTCGTGACAAGAGTAGTTTTGAGACAAGTGTAGGAGGTAAGTCTCAAGTAGTAGATATTACTCGAGATACTGCTCCGAAGGGCGTGAGAGTCTCTGAGCAGAAAGGTTGGGATGAAAGGAGCAGAAAAGATTGCTTTCATGTGGAGGATGACTCTTGTCCTCGACAATGCATGCTTCGGTAATTGCTCGTTAATGAAAGCCATGGGCTTATTATTCAAAGATTTTGTAGGCGCAAGCCCAGAACTTTATGGAACGATAGTGTGAGTCTGATGAGATCGTTATCAGAAAATCCTTTAGGTTCAAATCGCTAGGTACTGGATCCTTCACTGACGCTCGACTTGTGAAGCATTTTATAAAGTGTCTAAAAAAAATGACCACCCGACAAACGTGAGCTCTCGATATCAACCCGATTATGTGCTGACCTTCCCCTGTTCCATCATCAACTCGTCTACAACAATTTTGCTTAATCCGCGAAGCTGCGCTCAGATCTCCGGCCCATCCATTTACATGTGACCTGTGCAGGCCTTATCATCACAAAACTTTTTCCCTTGATGCTTTGTGATGCTTTGTGATCCTTCAGGACTAATTGAACCGTTTGAAAGATGATCTTGTACTGAGTGGACATGTCCTCATTGGACACTCTCTGGCGAGTCGCATTTAATGGCAGTAACGTGGTGACATCTCTAGGAGTTAAACTCTTTAGGGTTCAAATCTATTATCAAATGATGAACGGTTGATTCTATGTAGCACGTAGGAAGTATTTCATCCGTAGACTCGACCAGTCCCTGCGAATCCCTTCATGAAAATTCATCCTGGTTTCCATCTTGTAGTCACAGATCGGCCTCTTCTGCTCTATGATCTAGGAGAGGGGGAAGACAAGACAGTTTACGATAACGCCGTACATATCGCGCCTTGGTCTACAATGTTGGCAATTCGTCCAAACAGCACACATGGACAAAACATGCCCAAACAACCTGCACAATGCGTCCACAATAAAGCCTCAGATATTAGTCTAGAGTTTAGTCAATCGCGGCCTTTCTAATCATCTGATCAAGTGCGTCGAAATAAGAAGACATGATTTCGAGTTTTATTGTGTTCTCGCCACTTTCCTGCTTGCACTATTTAGTGAATCCTCGAGAATTAGACATATAACAATACGTCTAATACTGGGGGCGAAATCCAACAGTAGGTAATGCGTAGTAGGGCACTGCGACGAATTGATGTATGGCTTATAGTATCCTCTGTACACGACCAAGCTGGGATCTGTTTACAGCTGGGATCAATCAAATCCGTATGAAGGGTTTGCTCAATGGCCTGCAAAGCAGAGACTGAGTCAGAAGTATGTCGCTTAATTACGTACACGAGTTACAGTCCTCAAAGCAGTCGCATAAGCCGGACGTCCATTGGCCAGTATTAGGAGGTGGAAACGTCATCTGGCCAACAAGATCAGACAATCTCTCGCGGGTGCTGCACTACCCGAGACCACTTCCAGAGTGCAAATTACAGCAAACTGAATCTGCGCTGGATCATGATCATTTCAGCACATCGTCAAACCTCCGGTGCGGAAGAAGTAAGGAGAACGGATACCACGCTTGATCAGTGGATACAGTGTCACGAGGCAGCAATCAGTATCTTTTTTCATCTCCTTTAAGAAGAGTCACAATGAAATCAAGGGAACTGGATATCCCTGCAGAAGAAAAAAAAATGGCCTTTCTAGATCGGGCCGAGTTTGCTGCAGTGTAAGCACAGGTGCAATCCTCTGCGCAATTTCAGGTCCTAATTTTCCATTGCACAGCGATCCAAGGTTGCGGAGTTTCTCTTCGGCTTGTCAACGCAATAGACATTCCATCGTGAGGAAAGAAGAGGCGTCTTGGACTGTATGTAGGTTTCTTCCAGTGTTGCAGCAATAACGGTATGCGTCTTAGACGCGAGCCGTTTTGCATTCATACGAGCATGAAAGTCCCCAAGTTCAATCCACCTACCAGCTCCACAATCTGCTCTCTCGGCATCGAGACGGAGATCCGTCAGCACTACTGAAGTACTTGCTGCACGATTCCAGGACGGGTCTTTGCGGTTACCATGCACATAACGAGTACGAACGAAAATCCTGAGTTTTAGGGTGCACAGGCCGAGCCCGAGGCCGCTTCTTTCAGGCACATGTGAACGGGTACCAGGATGCGATTTTTTCTGCTGCACGTCCTGCGGTGCTCCCCTGGGTTTAGGCAGCCCATGATGAAAAATCAAGGTCCTTTTCAGTTCAGGCTTACTTGACCAAGTTCCTTCGTGTCCGTGGTACGAGACCTTAAGGACCACTGCATTTTCGACAGGCGGTCATTTCTTTCAACGATGTCATCGCATCGTGTTCAGTTGAAAACCCACTGAAGGCAATGTTTAGTTGGAAGCAACGAGAGGGTCGCTCCTGAGTTTACCAGACTTACAAGCCAGCACCGGGCCTGGCCGTCGGAGAAGGCACTTCCTTTGCTTCTGAAGGTGAAAAACCTCCGGCAGGATTCGTTCCATGCGTAAAGAACCAGCACAGACTGTTTCGACAATCTGTTTGTCTGGAGACGACTAAATGTCTCAGGCTGAAAGGTATTCACCAGATGTCAGTGAGAAGAGATCGTGTTTAGAGTACGAGAATACACTCCGGAAAGGAGAATGACGCATCTAATACGAAAGAAGACAATTTCAGTCGACACCATGACCCAGTCTCCAAATTTCAGGTCGTACGATGTGACGATTGAATGCAACTGGTCACAGCAGTTCCGCCTGAAATGCACAGATCCTATTTTCAAGCTCGGCGAACAAAATATTAGCTTTCAGAAATGCCGAATTTGGATGAAGCTCGCATCACAGCGCCGTCGGGACGCCATTTTTGGAACTGAGCGGCAGAGACGGTCCATTTGTCTTGGCAAGGAAGGCAGGTCACGTGGTGGACGACGTTCATCTCACTACGTGGTGTGGTGGAAGCGCTGCTGGACCATTTTTGGAACAGCGTGGATGCAACCCGTCCACGTCACGTATCTACATGTGTCTATCCGATGTGGAAAGAGGATAGAGGATAGGTTAGGCTTCGATATAATGATGAAATATGTGCGTAGATTTTAGTCATTTTAGTTAAACATGCATAAAGCAACATTATAAGATGAGATATGATGATCATCTAATAATGTGATTATATTCTTAAGTATAGAGTTAATAAAAAAAATTTAATGATAGATATATAGATAATTACATTATATCACAGGCCAAAGAAAGTTATACACCTCTGAAATAAAAATGAAACATTTGATATCTATAAAAATCACTGTTCAAATAATTATAACCACATATGATATAGCAGGCAGTTTCAGAAAAATGTAAACAATATCCTTATAGAGATGGAATGCAAATGTTATATTTTTGAAATTATATACCGTAATAAATTACTTTATATTTTTTAATTTGCTGAATAACGCGTATTTGATTTGTCATAGTAATCTACTTGAATTGCAAAATTTTGACATGAATTAAACAAAACTCAATGGTCAAGACTTATAAATTTTTGCTAGATTTCGATTTGGCATTAGATTTCTTTTATTCATTATTTGTCTATTTAATTATGTTTTTTAGGATTCAGATTCAACATTATGACTAGATATTTTGTTTTAAAAAAATTTTAAAAAAATTTTCGATAATTATTTTTCATGAGTAAAGCATTCGTTCTTGATATTTTAGTGAAATTTTATTGCCAGAATGTAAAAGTTATTCTGAGAAAGTTGTATATGAGATTTAAACTGAATAAAAAAGAAATAATTAATTTTCTATCCTAATTTTTCAAATTCTTCTGAATTCAAATTTCTAGTGGCTTCAAATATACATATGAAAAATAGTTTTATGATAATTCTGTTGAAAGTCAACAAAAACAAGCAGAAATTTATTTCCATATTTACATTTATACAATTTTTTACAAAATATGAACATGAAATTAAAATTAAAATATTTATTTTCGTAATTAACACATCATTTCATTCTTTCTCAATCTAATCGATTTTTGATTCTTTATGATATGTATTCATAATGTATTCATATTTCGATCTTGTCCAATTTGTCACCAATATTTACAGGATTGTTATCTTCAGTTTTCTGGTTTTTGTATCCATGAAAATTTAATTTGGAAATTTCATAACAAATACTTCTTTCACAAGTAGTATTTTTGAATTAGAATCAAAATTCTAAATGATTTTTAGAGATATTTCATCAGGATTTTATATTTAAATCAAATTCAAACAACTTTCATCAAAGTCATCAAAGTTTTATTCAAATCTGTTAATGATGAACTTACATGTTTTATTGATACGATCTATTAGATAAATCCCCTCAAAAATATTGAAATTTTATGAATAAATTGAAAAAATAAATTATACTGCTTATTTTTATTTTTATTTTTAATACATTCTTACATTATCATAATTAGAACTACGAAGCCATTGTTAGGAAGATTGAACAAATAAACGTAGTTATTATTGACATAGTTCACCTTACCAAAAAGTATGCAATTGTGACAGCACACAAGAAAAAAAAATGAAAATCAGGAAATCAAACAAACAAATGCTATCGTCTCACAAGAAAACAGAAGTCATGAGATCAATAAAGACAATATCACCTCAAAGCTCGTTGTATCACTTAGTCAGAAGTCACACGATGTCTAACATCAAACAGAAAAGCAATATGCTTTTTATGCCAAGCATATCGTGCAAGGTAACATTTTTGTCAAACAAGACCATTGATTGATAAAAGGATAACAAACAAAATATTGCAGACAACATTGAGCTTTTTCAATTTTCTACATTGAGCATCGTCTTCTTAATCACCAAAGTAAAATGTTCATTTTAATTTGAAATTTTTTTAATTCATAATGGGTAATTTATAGGATTTTTTTTGTCGCATAGATCTACTTAAGACTATGTTTAAAACTTTTTATGAAGGTGTACAAAAATAATGCATTTCAAATGAAAAAACGTATTTTGATTCTTGTTTAGATCTATTGCGTTATAGCCTTAAGAGGTTTTTTCCTTCATTGCTACTAGTTTGAATAAGATGTTTCAACATTTTAGTTAAAAGATTCTACATTTGTTCCACATCGTTTCAAATATTTTCTGTAATGCGGTTGTCGTGCGAATACATATCGCCATACACTCTACATCGTTGACATGCTACTCACATACACATACGCACACACATACACACATATAAGGCGCGAGAGAGTACACACTCAAATGTCACAACTGAAATAAACGGGAGATTCCCCACTGGAATTACCGTCGGTCAATTACCCTACTGGAAACAAACCGTCACCGTCACAAACATGAGTCAAGCCCAACCCACTCCACACTCGGAGAATCCAGGTCGACGCAAAGGGGAAAGTTACTCTACGCTCCCAACGTTTCCAGGCTCGACTCAAAGAACTAACGTTCTTCGAGCCGTCCCCGACTGTATACCCCTCGTGACCCGAACCCTGACTTCACGTCTAAATATAGTAAGTGTCTAAACTTCGTGAGCCGACTCGTAACTACATGACAGTTGTCGTGCGAATACATATCGCCATACACTCTACATCGCTGACATGCTACTCACATACACATACGCACACACATACACACATATAAGGCGCGAGAGAGTACACACTCAAATGTCACAACTCGCCCCCCTAGCTGGCGGTCAAGTCCCTCTGACTCCCAGGTAGCCCTATCTACAACTACATGCTATACACCTTCGTGGGTGCGCGAACCAGTAGGCCGGGTGCTATGTCGCCCCATCGTTAGTCGCCTATCTGCAATTCATAACATGTGAAGATCAAGTCATCTAACCCTATGAAGTACATCGAGGACAAACCCATCGTCCAGCCGGAATAACATAGATAGGCAGAGTCAGGCACAACATGTGCCATCCCCTAGAACATCTATCACACACCAACATACAGGCCGTCTGACCAGCTGACCCACACAGCATGCACCTCAAGCCAGCACGTACTACCGCTAAGCTTGGGTCCATAGTGCCATCTACGTTTGGGAGGTGGCATGGCGCACAATTGCGCACATGATCCTTCCAAACAACGCCGTCACGACCCTCCAACAGGAGAACTCCAGAAGGTAACACCTCCCGCACCCGCAAGATTGTGCGTCCCGCCGTCACATCCAATGTCGTCGGTGCAGTCTGCTGTAGATAGACGTAGTCTCCCACATGGAATCTACGAATTGATGGTCGATAACCTCCTCCCCGAATGGTTGCATACCGCAACGTATCTCTATGTTGAGCAATCGCAAGATTCTCAAACGCTGCAGGCATAACTCTCCGAAAGAGCTCTGCACGTTGAGAACATACTCTCACCCACATATTCGGGTCATCAAGGTTCACCACCTCGCTAGACTCACGACGAATCAATGTTGGCAAGTCTGGATCTCGGCCGTACAATAGAAAATATGGTGAGAAGGAAGCCAAGGATGCCTGCCGACTGAACCGATACCCCATGGCCAACCACGGTAACTAGATATCCCAGTCCCCAAGATGACCTTTCTGCAGGCCATACTTGCGCAACGTCCTCTTCACCGTCTGTACAACACGTTCAGCTAAACCATCCGCCTCTGGATGATCTCGCGACGTGGTCCGATGATCAATAAGTGCCTTGTCGCACAAGACCTGAAACTCCGTTCCCTGATCGGTCAACACCTCAGCTGGTGCACCATAGTGACTAAGCACTCTGTCAAGAAAAGCATACGCTACTCCCTCACTTGCCTTGTCAGGTAATGCCACCAACTCAATCCACTTGGAGAAATGCTCCACCATCACCAACACATACCAATGATGTCGTACAGTCAAAGGTAGCGGTCCAGCAAAGTCCAAACTCCAACGGTAACCCAACCCCATGATGG